CTTTGAGTTACGTATTACAAATCCTAATAATCTGTTGACAGCATTAATAAGGTACTCAATATGAGGATTGAAGCTAAGTGACATGTCAAAAATCACTCCCAGGTCCTTGCATTCTTGTACTCTCAGCAGAGAATGATTGCCAATTCTGTAGTCAAATGCAATAATATCTAGCTTTCTGGTGTAAGACATAACACTACATTTACTGTAGTTAATTGGAAGTCGATTTACAGCACACCATTTAACTATTTTGGCTAGGTCTTTTTGTAAGTGAGCACAGTCAGTGCTGCAGTCGACATTGGAAAACATTTTCAGATCACCAGCATCGATTAAGTGGCTGTTGTCGATGTCGCTAACAATATCGTTTATGAACAGTATGAAAAGCAAAGGACCTAAGCAGGAGCCTTGAGGTACCCCTGAGGTTGGGAAGAATTCAATGGATTTGACACCCTCATATTCAACATATTGCTTTCTTCCTGATAGATATGACTTAAGAAAGGATAGCAGCTTGGAGGAGAATCCAAAATAGCTCAGCTTCGTTAACAGAATACTGTGATCAAGTTTGTCAAATGCTTTACTAAAATCTGTATAAATTACATCCACCTGGCTATTAGCATCGAATGCAGAGGAGACTGACTGAGTAAAACAGGCTAGGTTAGTTATGGTTGATCTACCCTTCATAAAGCCATGCTGAGAAGTACTTTTTGGGAATGTGTATTGTGGTATAGGAAATTATGAAGCAAAGTTTCTAAGGCCTTGGAAAAGATACATACTAGGGTTATCGGTCTATAATTTTCAACCTGTAGTCTATCAACCTTCTTGAAAATGGGAAGCACCTTTGATTCGCCCCAAATTTCAGGAAACGTGTCAGTCTTTAAACATAGTTTGAAGATCTTTGTCAAGGGATGAGCTAAGACGTAGGCACAGTCACGCACTAAAAATGATGGGATTCCATCGGGTCCGGAGGTAAATTTATTTTTCATTTGCTTTAACACTGTAAAAACTTCTTCTTCGGAAAAGCTCTGAAGTATTATGTTAGTATGCCAGTCCGAAATATTGATATCAGTTGCGTTCGAGGGCATATTATATATAGATTGAAAAAATAGCGCAAAAGCATTAGCAAATTCATTGGGTTTGTCATACTGCTTAACATTATAGTTTACTTGGCTGATTGTAGAATTTTGTCCCCTTTTATTACAGATAAATGACCAGAAATTGTTCGGATCCTGAGATAGGCTACTTTGGATATCTACTAGATATTCTTGATATGCGTTACGCTCATCGCGCTTAATTTTGGTCCTTAAGTCTTTGAACTCAGTGTATGTGATCAAACTTTTATCCTTTTTAAACTTTTTGTGTAGCAATTTTTTTCTTTTAATGTCTCTAATCATTTCACAGTTAAACCAAACTGGAAATTTGAGAGATCTGAGACTTGTCCTAGGGACACACATATTAAAAATCTTACGAAGAATGTTATGAAATGTTTCCAAAGCTACGCTTACTTCTGTTAAATTGTCAAGAAACGTCCAATTAACCAAGCTTATTTGTTCATATAGTGCTACAAAATTGGCTTTTCTGAAATTATATGATTCTCTGGCGCTCTTTTTAGAATGGAAGCTCATGTTGATTATCATGACAAGGGGAGGATGGTGAACATCCTCAGGTAGTAGGTCATCATAAGCCTTAACGACGCTACATTGTTTATTTGATAACACTAAATCTAATAGCCTATTATTTTCATTTCGAACATCATTGAATTGAGAAAGATCGAAGAAACCCATAAATGACTGGATTGTTTTCTGCTTGTGAGAAGATTGGAGGTGATTTTCATTAACAAATTCGGGAACATTAAAGTCACCTAGTATACAGGGTTATCCAAATTAAGTGTCCACCATTGGTAACTTTGTTATTAGTAAAAATACAAAGTTGTTTAAATTAGCAAACTAGTAGCATTTTTAACGCTGGTAAAAATGAGAAATAAAAAAAAACAATTGAGAGTCGTTATTTTGATTTTTTTCAGTAAAATAACATTTTTTTAAATGGAAACCCCTGTATATTATATTTTTTTCTGTTAAAGCATCAAATTTTAAACAAAAAAGTTCATAATGACTTTTCCGCTAAAGTCAAAAATAAAGTCAAAATAACGATAAATATTTTTAATTATTTGCAGTATTATAATATTAAGACGGCTATGAAAACAACATGGCGTTCGCGATTTGACAGCATTAAGATAAGCGACAAATTGTTAAACTGGACATACTCGCAACTAGAAGGCTTTGGAAAACAATGATAAAATCAAATAATGTCAAACATTAGTGTAAATACTTGTTTATAAGCTTTATTGTGTCATTAATTTAAAGAAAAATGTTCTCCCATGAAGAAAAGTGTGATATGTTAGAATGCTATTTAATGTGCAGAAAATCCTCCTTGAGAGCAAGAGAATACTACAGTGAATTATATCCCGCTCGCATTCAACCGTATGAACGATATTTTCTGAGACTTTATCGAAAATTTAGGGGCAACGAAAATGTTTTTGCTAAAACAAGGGCAAAAAAGAATTCATAATAAGCGAGGCCACGGAAATTGCAGTTATTGGATATTTTGAAGCTTATCGTGAGAATTCAATAGCAGATATTCTCAAGGACTCTAATTTCAGTTATGGTACTGTTCAAAGGATTTTAAAAAAATACAAATTTATTCCGTATAAGTACCGACCAGTTCAAATCAAACGCTTTTGGCAGGGGATCCAGAGAGAAGACTTGTTTTTTGCCATTGGTATCTTAGCTTCTGTCGCCAAAATGTAAATAACTTTCGTTACCTTTTATGGACAGATGAATCAAATTTTTCAAATTCTGGAATGTTCAATAGAAAAAACCACCATTATTGGTCAAGAGAAAATCTTTTGTTAGTACATCCAAGAGGCCCACAAGTCCGTTTCAGTTTCAACGTTTGGTGCGGTATAATTGGTTCAAAAATTGTTGGCCCGTTCTTTTATGAGGGAACCCTAACTGGTGAAAGATATGTGGAATTTATGTCAGAAATTCTGACTAATTTCTTAGACGAATTGGATCTTATAAGTAGACATCATCTGCATTTTCAGCAAGATGGCGCACCTGCCCACAACTCCAAAGGTACTTATCATTTTCTAAGTACTACTTTTAATGATCAGTGGATAGGAACAAATGGCCCAATACAGTGGCCTCCCAGATCACCAGATCTAAACCCACTTGATTACTTCTTGTGGGGTTACTTAAAGAACCAAATTTACAAGCGAAGGTACGATAACCTTGACGCGTTAAAGACTGCAGTTAGGGAAAAGGTAACCCAGATAGATGGTAGGACCATACTTAAGACAGTTCGAGCAGTTGAAAAACGTGCCCAAAAATGTATTGAAGAACAAGGTGGTGTTTTCGAGCATCTTCTTTAAAAAAAATTGTTATTGTATTTTGTAAGATTATAAGTTGATGTTGAAAATAAAGTTTGTCGATACAATTTAATTGTTTCAGATTGGAGGCCATAACTTCAACAATTTGTAACCTAGGAGAAAAGTTATTGTAAGCTTTTTTGTTTAAAATTTGATGCTTTAACAGAAAAAAATATAATATACAGGGGTTTCCATTTAAAAAAATGTTATTTTACTGAAAAAAATCAAAATAACGACTCTCAATTGTTTTTTTTATTTCTCATTTTTACCAGCGTTAAAAATGCTACTAGTTTGCTAATTCAAACAACTTTGTATTTTCACTAATAACAAAGTTACTAATGGTGGACACTTAATTTGGATAACCCTGTATAAATACTTTTGCCAAAGAGGTAATCAAGCGATTCTAGATCTTCAAAGAATCTTTCATAGCAGGAAGTACTCGTGTCAGGCGGTTGTATATCACAAAGAAATAAGTCACTTCATATTTATATCTAAGTTTGATTCCAATTATGTCAATACTGGGAATATCGTCTCTGATAAAAGTCATATTTACCTCGGATGCAGCAAGTTGATTACGAATATCAATTAAGACACCACCTCCTCTGGAACACCCCATCGCAGAGAAATTTCTGTCCGCTCTAAATACAACATATTTGTCAGTAAATAATTCAGAACTAAGTACCGCAGACTGCAGCCAAGTTTCAGTACAACAGATGATATCATAGTCAGACATAGCGACATTTACAAAGAATTATTTACACTTAGAGTTCATACCGCGCACGTTCTGATAGTAAACAGAGATGCGACGATCAGAAAAGGTAGAAGTAGAAACTCTTACAAAATTTTGAGTATTTAACTGTTCATAAGGGATTTCACCGGGAAAATCTGAACTAAGAAAAAAATAACCTAGCTTTAACCTCCTCAAATTTTTGTAAGTAACATGGGCACCTAGAATCCCAAGCCGCATGTGACATGTCATAGTTGGTATTTCTGTCGAGATTATTTCTGACACAGTTAATACATTTTAAGTTCTTGGCCTTGCAGTTTTTCAGTAAGTGGCTATCGCCACACCGATGACAGTGAGTTTGGCTCTTACATTGACCAGAAACATGGGAGAAACCACTGCAATTGAAACATCGCTTGATAGAAATTTCATCATACACGCCACAAACATCATACCCCACGAATAACTTACCCTTGTTGACAGACATAATTTTATTATAAGTACCGTAGTCTAATTGAAGGATGGCTTGGAAAATGTCAGCTCTTTTCTTGATTGGCTTAATGTCTATAACTTTACATTCAAATTTCTCACTTAGCACATCTTTATTTTGAGACTTAATGGAATGCGTAGTGTGCAGTTCTCCTAAGCAGTTCAGTTAGTCTATTAGCTTGCATTGATGACGTAATCTCAAAAAACCGTTACTTATTCCATATGATGCCATATTCACGCAATATACTGTCTATTCTCATTGAAGTGTCCTCAGATAACACGAAACCTAATGGACATCATCCTTGATCGGGAAATGTTATTAATACCATCTGAATGATTGAGGAGTATGTAGTAGTGAGTACGTACCTCTATGGTGATGCTGTCGAGCCAATTCCCGTTGACGCAGAGGTCGAAGCTGTCGATCCCGATGAACCAGTCCGGGGAGGGCACGATCCGGGACATCAGAGACACCTGAAACACAACCATATGGTTATTACTTCTGGGCATGGATGTCTCATAGCGCTGTGATATGGCGCTGCGTATCTCACCTTAATTACCAGGTTGCTCTAGATACTGTATACAGTATATGCAGAAAGGTAACTCCTACTCATTTTTTGAAAGGGCCAAGTTAGTAGCCAGAAATTCGGGATAATGAAATGTACTCGTATAAACGTAAAAACACAACAACAATTTCAAGATGGTGCTGTCAAAGTTGAGCGTTTTTATATATTGATCGCTTATACTCGTAACCCAAGAACTAATCATCATAACATTATAGTATGTCACATCAGTCTTCTTTTAGGAGCGTATATCTGAATGTTCAATAAAATATCAGACATTCATTTAAAATTGACATCTATAGATAGTCTTTAATGATTGGTTGTTACAGTTCAATGTACAAAAATGCTCAACTTTGATAGGCTGCCAGTTCGGCACTTTAGAAGACGGCGATTTTATATTTCAGGCAGTGGTCGCCAACCTTTTCATTGTGCTGAGCTACTTTGATAATAAACAGTGAGCTACCTAGTCGTAAGCAATGTAAGCCAACTTGAAGGAAATTATACACAGTTGTATGCGACATACATGGGTTCATTTTACTAATAGTAATACATACTAATAGACTTAGTTACATACCCCATAACTACATCCATTTCTACCGATCGTAGGTGTTTGAACAATAAACAAATTTTTTCGTCAGTTACAATGGCATGTCACATACAAAAAAGCAACGCACTATTTTAAACAAAAACATGTCCTGATAGAAAATGCGTGTTCAATGAGAAGCCTGACACTCAGACTCACTGACAATTTTTTTTAATGTTTGGAGTATAATTTGATACCGCCATTCGAATACAATTATACAAATGTTCATCTGTAAATAACATTCACCCAAATAGGTTAAACTGAATAACGCTTTCACTTTCAAGGCAACACAACATAAAACTGAATATTTATCTTTACATACTGAAGGCCAGATTCATTTTGTAATTGAGATTAATGAGCTTAAAGCTATATCATTTTTTGAAGTTATCCTTCAAGTTAGAGACTATTGCTACATGATATTTACTGTCATATGGTTCTAATGGACCTTGAGATATCTTCTGAAAGAACAGGGAAGTGCCTGGTATCGCCATCGATTAAGTTTTATTCCCAAAACTCAAGCCTTTGATAAACGATTTTATATCAGAAATTATTTCTGCTAGTCGTTTGTCTCTCATCTGAAGCTGCAAATTAAGTTCATTCAATTTTTCTGTAATATCCACAGGAAAACCAAAATCTCTAAGCCAGATTGAATGCTCCAGTTCCGGATTCGGTTCATCCCGTTGTTTGAAAAATTGAACTATGGCAGATATATCATTAAAACGTTTCAGCATGCGTCCCCTTCTTAACAATCGGACTTCAGAGTGAAGTAGTAGTTCCCCGTTTTAACAGTCAATTTCATCGGCCAAGGTTTTGAATAATCTTCTTTGTAATGCTTGAGCTCTAATCTTGTACACAATTTTTACTACCAATTAGATAACGTTGTTTAGTTTTAGAAAATGTCCATCTAATGCTTGCTGAAGGATAATGCAGTGATAAAAGAGAAATTGCGGAAAACTTTCATCTTTACAACATAACCCCACGAGATCCTTATCACGACCCACGATAACTGCAGCGCCATCAGTTGTCAAGCCTCCCATTTGCGATATTGGAATTTCCCCAGAAATAATAATGTTTCTAAAAGAAGAAAACAAGTCCTGACCCGGTAGTCTCTCCTTTTAGTAAAATAAACTTCAAAAGATATTTAATCGTAAAATCCCTAAAACCCATCCTGACGAACACAGCCATCTGAGAGGTATCAACGACATCTGTGGATTCATCCAGCTGCAGTGAAAAATAAGCAAAGTTATCGTTATCATTGTCTGTTAACCAGTTAACTGATTTCTTAATAATGGGTGATTTTTTTGCTAGTATCTTTTTGGCAACACTGTTTTAGACAGATGACGCGTGAATCGTGTCTTGTGTTATTGTCAAACTTGTTCAGTTTGGTCTATAATGTAACCATGAATCGACTTACGAACAAACAACGCTAGCAAATTATTGAATTTTACTATCAAAATTCATGCTCGGTTAAGAGAGTGCATCGAGCACTGCTTCCAATTTATGGGCAATTTGGTCGGCCTACTGCGGGAGCTATTCGGAAGCTTGTGACTAAATTTCGAACCCAGTGTACATTATTGGACATTAAACCACCAACACGCAGACGTAGAGTGAGGACTGTAGAAAATATTGCGGCTGTATCCGCCAGTGTTAGTGATGACCGTGAAATGTCGATTCGCCGCCGTTCGCAGCAATTGGGCCTCTGTTACTCCACTACGTGGAAAATTTTGCGACAGGATTTGGGTGTAAAACCTTATAAGATACAGCTGGTGCAAGAATTGAAGCCACACGACCTCCCACAACGTTTCCAATTTGGTGAATGGGCGCTGGCAAAGTTGGAGGAAGATCCACATTTTTATCGAAAAATTGTGTTCAGCGACGAAGCTCATTTCTGGTTGAATGGGTACGTTAACAAGCAAAATTGCCGCATCTAGAGAGAAGACCAGCCAGAAGCATTGCAAGAGCTACCAATGCATCCCGAAAAAATCACTGTTTGGTGGGGATTATGGGCCGGTGGCATCATCGGGCCGTACTTCTTCAAAGACGACAATGGCCGGAACGTAACTGTGAATGGCGAGCGCTACCGTGCGATGATAACAAACTTTTTTTTACCCAAAATGGAAGAGCTGGACTTGGCTGACATGTGGTTTCAACAAGACGGTGCCACATGCCATACATACATATTGAGAGGCCAGTTCGGTGAACAGTTTATCTCACGTTTGGGGCCCGTCAATTGGCCGCCTAGATCGTGTGATTTAACGCCGTTGGACTATTTCTTGTGGGGCCATGTTAAGGCTAATGTCTACAGGGATAAACCAGTAACGATTGACGCGCTGGAAGCCAATATTGAAGCATTTATTCGTGAATACCGGCCGATATGTTGGACAGAGTGTGCAAAAATAAATTGGACCTTGCGCATGGGCCATCTAAAGCGGAGCCGCGGCCAACATTTACATGAAATCTTTAAACATTAAAATATATCGACCGTTCTATCGACTCAAATAAAGATTTAATCGTTTTATCAAATTTTTTGTGTTTTTTTTAAAATCAAATCCTATACCTCTTAAAAAATCACCCGTTAGTTTCAGTTTTTCCGTTCTGGTTGCAGAACGTAATGGGCATGATTTCAAAATTCGAATGTACAGTTTTACATTGATTCTCGATATTTCCTTCTCTAGCAACGGAAACAGATGTCTTACATAACAAACATACATTTTTAACTTTAACTTCAGTAAAGAAATATTGTTCTTCCCTTTCCGCATGGAAATAGTATGTCTTCATTTTCTTACTACTGCTCATAATGTTTTTAATTGCAGGCCAACTCTGAACCAACCGCTAGACTTTGTGCCGTTCAGTTTTAAACTGAGCTGCACTGTCGCCGCGTCTTGCGTATTTATTCCGTTCAAAGTAATCGAGATCGTCCTCGAACAGATCGCTCACCGCAGTGTTGCCGCTGCTTGTGTTTATTATGCAAATTTACAAAATTTACGGAAGCTTCTATGATTTTTACACCTTTTCAAAATATGCTGTGCTAGTGTGATAAAGCATCCATAAGGAGCTATAGGGTATCACAAGACGACCTTCTTTTATGTTAAAATATAGTACTGTTCCGTACAAAAGCTAAGTAAGATAAACCGGGTGTTACAAAATTACCGAACTGCTTTTTATTTTTGTAGTCAGGGCATTTTGGAAGAGATCAACGTTAGGTCTCAATCAACTTTGGATAATGGTGAGCTTGGATTTGATCTTGAGCCTGACCTTTAAGGTTATTTCAAGGTTGACTTTTGGGTTGTAATTGTAAAGTATCCTCTTAGACACCAGAAATCGAATGAATGAGAGATTCTGCGTCCTTATGCGTTAAGAAATCTGTGATTAATATCACCTCTAAGGGTCAAATGAAGGTCAAATATGTGAGGTTAGGAAGAATCCAAAAAGTTGAGCAGGAATATTTATGAAAAAAATATGGTCACACTTCGAGTAACTCTTAACAAGCATTCCAATACTGACCTTGTATTTGACCCTGAGACCCACCTGCAAGGTCATACAACTATTTGAGCAGGTATTAGAATGTACATTCTTCTATCGCCGGTGTCAAAGAGGGCATTCGCAGTGAACAAATGGTTCACGTTCAAATGGCTTTGAAGGTTGAACATTAAATCCAAGGTCATCTTTGAAATCATTGTCAAAAGTTACTAAAAACCAAAAATATCTTTTATCAATCACGATGCAAAACTTTTATGAATTTACCCTAGCATCGGAGATTTGACCGTCATTTGACCTTTAGAAGTGACCTTGACCTTAGATTTCAATACATCTTCGGACATAGAATTTTCTTCCGATTGCCGGTGTTAAAAATGGGGCTTTTCGTTCAAAGATAACTGTGAGGATCAAGGTCAAATCTAAGGTCGCCATTGACTTTTTCAAAATTATATTGCCCATTAGGTGTATGACTAGCATCTTGTTCATTCTTTCAACGATATTAAGAAGTTATAGTGGAAAGCCGAAAGACATAAAAATATCAAAACCTCGGAAGCCATTTCCACTGTATTGAATTTCGTGAGACCTTTTCGACTGCATTAGTAAAAGTTTAAATAAATAGGTTAATTCATCAAAATTTCACGCTCCACTATAACGATTTTTAGCATACATTTACAAAATTAAAAAATAAAATGAAAAAAAATATGGTGATACAGAAAACTGTGACAATATTCCTAGGGCATGCATTTAGATCAAAGAATAATACCAACGGTGTTTATGAAGGTGACGCTAAAAATATTACCTTGCCTTGCGTTTTCAAATCAAAAAAAGTTATATCCTCGGGTTGTATTAGG